GGTATAAGGAAAGATTGTGATTGTGATTGTGAAATGAGGAATACGAGGGGGTACCTCGACTGTGATTCTTGTTGTGCATTTCATGTCGAAAAAAGTTATCGGTTGAACAAATTCTTGTTGTCCTTATTCTTCCGTGTCTTACCAGTTTTGTCCGTATTTGACTATTTGTGGTTCTCATTAATTGTTTTCTTCTTGTTATCTTATGCTTACCATTCTATCATTAGTTACGATATTGAATTGCTTTGTTATCATTTATTTCTCTGTTTTCTATTACTTCTCGTTATTATATTTTTGTTCTATTTATCATGTCCTAGTAGGTGTCTTGACCTGGCCTCGTCACTACTCTACTGAGGTTAGAAATTCTTCGCGGCGAGCTTGCTCGCCCCGCTCGGACTTTTTGGGTTGAACAATGCACCGGAAAGTAAAGGAAAATTTTTGGCGAAAAAATGCGTTTATGCGGTCCATTATGCGACCGCATAATCACTATGCGGGCCGCATAATGGCCGCAGAAGTGAGGCAGGAAGGGGTTAATCTGGGAGCAATTATGCGGTCGACTATGCGACCGCATAACTGTTCTGCGGTGCATTATGCGACCGCATAACAGTTATGCGGACCGCATAGTGATCGCAGACTCAGACAGATTTTTTGGTCATTTTGGACACCAATTATGCAACCGATATGAGGTCCGCATAACCATTATGCGGTCGTATATGCGACCGCAGAACTTGTTCCGGAGCTCCATTTTTGGGTTTTTAAAACCCGATCCTACTTCGTTAAATACACGCTTGGGGCCATTTTTGAGCAAATATCTGATGTTTTAGAGAGAAGGGAGAGTGTTTTAGAGAGAGAGGAAACCCTAGGCTAATTATTCATCAAGTTTTGCTCAGATCTTGGAAGATTAACAAGGAAAACCCACAAGATCTTCATCTAAGAGGTAAGGTTCCATACCCTAGTTTTCAATTTCGAATTTGGGTATAAGAAGGTTGAATTGGAGTATGATTCTTGGGTATAAGAGTATTATTTGTACATGCTTGTACTAATAAGGTTTGTGGTAAGATTCTTGAGCTCAAATAAGTAAAGACTGGATTGTGGAGTGAAGGAAATCTTGTAAAAGAACTTTGTAGTTAAATTTGCACACCTAGTGTTTGATAAAATGCTCAAATGAGCTGAGACCACGAATATCTTCCTAATTATGGTTCAATTTTGTTATGTATCAAAATAGATTGGGATTGCTAGAATTTTCGGAATGTTGTAGTAATTTAAGGAAAGCTCAAAGCGAGGTATATTGTCTAAACTTTCTCTCTTGGAATTGAATTCCATAATATTTCCGTAATTTTCAAAGTATGGGTTGCGTATTAAAAGGTTATGGCTTTGAGTCGTGTTTCAATGAAAGATAGTATGCCAAATTGTGTGAGAAAATCTCAATATTCTTAAGACTCTTAATTGCTCATATGTGTACCTAAAGTCTTGATTTGGAAATGTCTTATTGTTGATAATCTATAAAGATGGTTGGAAGTGAAATAAGTTAATTGGGGATATAGAGTGTGGCCAACGTGCCAAGAATTTAAGTTATGATTGTGTCTAGTAGTGCAAATGATTTGAGAAGATGCGATAAAGAATATGAAATGAGCCTCGACTCAATTGTTTAAAAATGACTTCGAAGATAGAATTGCCTAAAAGCTTTTGTACTCAATTCATGCCCATTAGTGGTTGCTTTAACTAATGCTTTGCTTTATAAATATATCTAGTGTGATTCGAGTTCTATATACTCATGTGTTGAAATTGTACATTGTCATTTCTGGGGAAGAGTATTGCAAGAATAAATGGTGTATTGATTGTTTATGATTTTTCATGTGTGTTTCTATTGTTGGTTGGTATGCCTCATTCTTTGGGAAGAAACCATTTGTGTTTGAAGTTCCCATTTCAAATGGATTTGAAGTATATGATTTCTGAAATATTCTATATGTTGATATTTGATGGTGATCTTTGAAATTGAAAGAGGTGAAAGTGTGAAATATGAAATACGACCATCGTGGCAGGAATAAAGAATCTTGTGAATGGCCTAATGAGCCAAGAAAATATTGTCGTTGTGAATGACTGAAAATACTAATGAGAATTTATACAATATGAAAGATGTTGAGGTGAGTACAATTATATTTATGATATTTCTATATGCAAATCAAATCAAAAATATTTTTGGGAGCATCATTAGCAAAACCGAGGAAGGGTGGGTCATAAGGCCCACAGCTGAAACTACACGTGCCGGTGTAGGGGTGGATTGTGATTATTCCCCTTATTTGAGATGAAATTAGAACCTTTGGAAAATTGTGATATTATTCCCCTTAATTGGGATGAAACAGGAAACTTTGTGGATTGGAAAAGTCAACCCACACGGCATATGTAGGAAGGCAGCCTAGCTGATCGGGTGGAGATCAGATGCCATGTTGCGCACATGGTGGTACTACTCTTGGTAACAACTTTCTTTCGCATCACCTGTCAAACCACATTGTCCGTGAGGAGATGGCCTAGCCGATCGAGCGTAATCGGACTCCGTACTAACAAAGACGGTGGTATATCGGTGCTAATGATATCCCAACCAAAATTATATATGAAGTTCGTATTTTTAAAATTATTATGTTTTAACTGGACATTTGGATATTTTTGATTGTGACTTGCTGTTTCTATGTGTTTCCTTTTCTTATATGGGCATTCTATTTTGAAAGAGGATTTTTAGCTATACATACTAGTGCTATTCGACAGTACTAACATCCCTTTTGCCGGGAGCACTGCGTCTTTAATGGATGTAGGTGGTTCTTCAGCAGGCGACATTGATCAGTGATAGCAGTACACTCTTTTCAGCTAATTTGGTGAGCCCCACTTCATTTCGGGATCATGTATCTTTTGTTTCTCATGTACTGTGCTTTGAGGTATAGCCGGGGCCTTGTTGCCGACATTTTCATATTACTCTTCTATTGTACTTAGAGGCTCCGTAGACAGGTTGTGGGTTATGGTTGATGTTGGGAATTGAGCTAGAAATGTAGGTACTTGGAAATCATATTTTTCATTAATTCTATAAACTCGTAATATTTTGAAAATTATGAATGAAGCTGCTAATGGGAATGAAAAGGAAGTTGTTAATAAAATCTTTTCAGTGATTGATTAATGGAGTACATCTCCTCTTTATTCATGGATGAGTTTGGGTAGAAGGAAATCTAACAGGCTTGCTCATCCGGGTTCTCTCGGTTGAGCGTCGGTCGCGCTCCCCGAGTTTGGGGCGTCACACCTGCACGACGTCCGCATTCCTCGGAGTCAGTTTCTATTTTTAGACATTCTATTATTTATTTCTTGTTTCAAAATAGTATTGTATTACGAAATTATTAGTACATTCTTGTAGAGCTTATCACTCTGTTCCACCAGGTTTTGGGGAGTTGTTGTCAGCCAGACTGTTGAGTTTTATTATGATAGTTTACATAGTTTTATTTGAAGTTTTAGTATTATTTCTTCTATTTCTTAACGCATGTTAGGCTTACCGAATCTTAGAGACTAGATACCATCACGGCATCCTAAGGTGGGAAATTGTGATTGTGACAAAAATAATCCATAATCACTTCAACAAAATTTTCTACCATATCAGTGCAGATTGCCATCATCCACCTTTGAAAAGTCGCAAGTGCATTACACAACTCAAATGGCATTCTCTTAGAAGCCTAAGTGCCATTCGGACAAGTGAAGGTGGTCTTTTCTTGGTCCTCTAATGCAATTAATAATTGATTATAGCCGGAATATCTATTAGGAAAAACGTAGTAGTCTTGTCCGACAAACCTATCTAACATCTGATCAATGAAGGGGAGGAGGAAGTGATCCTTTCTAGTAGCATTATTTAATTTCTAGTAATCTATGCAAATTCTATAAATTTTTGGACTTTCTATTTGCTCATTAATGAATAAAATTTCATATTCACACGCTGCTCTCTTCGAACTCTCTCTCTCTATTTGAACTTTCTCTCTTTCGCACCCTCCTTTGTCTAATGGCTCTCTGCCACCATCGGTGACAAGCCAGGCTCCGCACTGGCTACGGACATCACCACCAGTTAAGTTCTCGTTATCTCTCCCCCCTTTCTCTCTCTCATTGCCCCTTTCCTCCTTCCTCTCCTCTCTCTACTCTATCCCTATCTCCACCCTGTTTCTCCTCTTACGCCGATGGCTTAAACAGAGCCGGTGACTGCCCTCTCCTCTAATCTATTCCCCTCTCTACCTCTCTCTCTTTTGTGTGTGTGCGCGCAGTGCCGACACTTCTAGGATTACCAGCCAGGTCCAATCATGCACCGGTGAGTGTGTCATTGTTCAGGAAAATATTCTGCCAGAAGATACCTTGGTGGCAGTCGTCTCTTTAGAAGCTCCCTATCCCACAACCTTCCAGCTGGTTCCGACGAGTATTAGTTACTTCGACAAAATTTTAGGTGACCTTTTTCGGTGATTGTCATTGAAGAAGTGGCAGCAAAGGCTGCTCCAAGTTGAATATCCAGGTTATATTCTCTGGAGTTGGTACCTCCCGCTTTTCGAACTCTTTTCTTTGTATTAGTTTTATTGTCATTTTAGTTCGCATTGGTGTAGTCATAATATTTGTGTGCTTGTAGTTACAAATTGTTTTCTTCTAGTTTGGTCCGTTGCCTATTTTGGGCTAGCAATTTTCCTTATTCTCTCCTAGGTATAGTGGCTAAGGTCTAGGATGGTAGAGTAAGTTTATGTCCTCGGGTGGGGCAAGGTTCAGGGGGTGGGACGGGAGGCAAGGGGAGTGAGGGAGTAGGAATGGATCCTCTAGGTTGAGAATTGGGTCATGGAATATAGGAACACTGACGGGTAAGTCTATAGAGTTGGCAAAGATTTTCCAGATAAGGAAGGTTAATATAGCATGTGTCAAGGAGACTAGGTGGGTAAGATCAAGGGCGAAAGATGCGGACGGGTATAAGTTGTGGTACTATGAACTCATGAAGGGTAAGAATGGAGTGGGTATTTTGGTGGACAGGGATCTTAGAGAGTCTGGTAGAGGTCAGGTGGGTGAGTGATAGATTAATGACTATTAAGCTAGTGGTTATGGAGTGCACTCTAAAGGTCATTAGCGCTTACGCGCCGCAGGGGGGCTTAGATGAGGAGGTTAAGAGGCGCTTCTGTGAAGAGTTGGATGAGATTGTGCGTAGTATTCCGCCTGTTGAGAGGTTATTTATAGGAGGGGATTTCAATGGTCATATTGGGTCGACTGTTGATGGCTATGGAGAGGTGCATGGCAGCTTCAGGTTCGGTGTTAGGAACAGAGGAGGTACTTCGCTGTTGGATTTTGCTGAGGCATTTGAGCTAGTAATTGCGAACTCGAGTTTTCCGAAGAGGGATGAGCATTTGGTTACTTTCCAAAGTTTGGTGGCGAGGACTTAGATTGATTACCTCCTCCTCAGGAGGGGTGATAGAGGGTTATGTAAAGACAACAAGGTTATCCCGGGGGAGACCCTCACGACGTAGAATAGGCTCTTGGTGATGGATTTTGGTATCATGATAAAGAGGAAGAAGAGGCTGCTCGAGGACAACGGAGGATCACATGGGAAGCCTTGATTAAGGATAAAGCTCAGGAGTTAGAGGGGAGATTATCGACTTTGGGAGCCTGGAGGAGTAGTGGGGATGTGAGCGCTATGTGGACGACGACGACAAAATGTATAAGGGAGGTGGCGAAAATGTTTTAGGGGTCTCGAAGGGTTATCCTGGAAGGCACAAAGGTGACTGGTGGTGGAATGAAGTGGTCCAAGGTAAAGTGGAAGAGAAGAAGGCGGCGTACCTGAGGTTAGTAGGGAGCACATGCTAGGAGGAGAGGAGAGATAACAGAGAGAGGTATAAGGTAGCTAGGAGGGAGGCGAAGTTGGCAGTCACAAAGGCTAAGACTTCTGCGTTTGGTCGTCTGTACGAGGAATTGGGGGACAAAGGCGGGGATAAGAATTTATTCAGGCTGGTTAAGGAAAGAGAGAGAAAGGATCGGGATCTAGACCAAGTGAGGTACATCAGAGATGAGGACGATAGAGTATTGATGGGAGAGGCACAAATTAAGCAGAGATGGCAGACTTACTTTCATAAACTTCTGAATGAAGATGTGGACATGGATATTGTGCTAGGTGAATTGGGGAATTCTGAGAGTCACCAAGACATTAGGTGCTGTAGATGAATTAGGGTTGAGGAGGTCATGGGGGCTATGCATAAGATGAGTAGGGGGTAGAGCGACTGGACCAAACAAAATTTTGGTAGAATTTTGGAGGAGTATTAGTAGTTCAGGCTTGGAGTGGCTGACTGGGCTGTTCAATGTTATTTTCTGGTCGAAGTGTCACGACCCAAACTGGAGGGCCATGATTGGTACGCGAGCCATATCTGCCGAGCACCAACGTACATTTTATCTAACCTTTCCTATTACCTATAAGGGCCGACCAGATCAACATAAATGGTAGACATGAATCATGAACTACAAACAATGACAGATAATGGCATGAACATACATAACATGGGCATGCAAGGTTTTCATGAAGCGATTTATAAGTACGAGCGGACAAGCTGCCATGAGAGACTATACAACAAAAATCAGCCGACAAGGCAATCCAAACTATAAATTAGTCGACACCTGTCTATGAGCCTCTAAAGGAACATAAGTATTGCAAAATTGACAGAACAGGGCTCCGACATACCTATGATGTCTATAACAAAAGTTCATACCAAGACCATGGCAAGTCTGGAGAAGGGATCTCGCCAATAACTGTAGAACTGGGCAGCCTATTATGGTGGGGGAGCTGCGTCTATCTGTCTATAAGGACTTGCAGCACGAAATGCAGCATCCATAAATAAAAAGGATGTCAGTACGAATAAGGTACAGAGCATGTAAGGCAGGAAAGCATAAATAAGAACGGTTTTGCAAGCATGGGTAGAGNATATATATATATATATACACTTTTAAAAACATACTCCTCTGTGGGCACATCATCATCATATCATACCCGGCCATAATAGGCTCGGTTAAAATGTACCCGACCATTATAATGCTCGGTAGAATTGTACCCGACCACGTCGAGCTCGGTAAAAACCAACTGATAAGTGGTTGCACAATTGGTGCCTTACCCGGCCAACTATAGCACGGCTCGGTAGAGTAAAATAGGTACATATATGTAATGCATATTGGACTCATTGGAATCACATTCTAAACCTTTCGGAGTGACGTATGATTGGTAACCTCCATACACGTTATTAGGACTAACACTTCATCATAGATCTTATAAGAATCAGGAAGTACCAACAACATTGATAACATAAGAATAAGAGAAGTAACATCAACATTAATCGTTCCATAAGAAGGGAAACAATGTAAGTACTGCTAGCTTCTAAGAGTGAAGTATCGTTGGAAGCTCGTTACATTATGTACATCGTGCAAAAGAAGGAAAGGGATAGCCTCACATACCTTGTATATACTGCCCAACCTCAAGCTATGCAAATTTCATGACTCCTTAGTCTACAATAAGAGAAATGATACTATCGTTATCATTTAAGCGTCGTAACTATTATATATCGATCGCAACCTATTTTACGATAAAACGAACAACACCTTCCCTTTTTATATGACTTCTCACAAGTTAAAAACAATCACCAAACAGCTAAAACAACATCAATAATAATCATATTAAGTCTCCCAAAACAGTCCACCAACCAACAACATTACTAACAAGCCTTTCGATAGATATTTCGCAAGTTCTAGCTTCAACGGCTCAATCGTAACTTGGATAATCTTAAATACATGTAGAGTAAGAGGTTCCTTACCTTTAAATAGATAGAACAACTCCAATTTGACCCTACTTTACCACGAAATATCCTTCCAGTGCTGCCACAAGAACAAGGAAGCGAAACTACCAATCAATTCGGGTTTTTCGGCACTAAAATCACTTTGGAAGACTTGATATCACCTAGGGTTGATATTAAAAACTTGAGAGAGTATTTTACAGAACTTAAACCACTTAATTTGTGTCATCTTTTGTTTCATAACTCGTTTGATTCCAAGACTTATGATACATATATTATATGATTCAAATACCTTAAAATACAACCTCCTGAGAATATTAAGCACCTCTAGTTTTACCCGAAAATACGGGTTACAACATCCTTGATTCGTCTTACTTCTAATACTTGTTAACCACTCTTATAAACCCTTGTATCATTTAAGACCTATAGGATTAACTTCTTATCATCTCAAAGATAATCGCTTCTCAGATTTACGTCGACTAACTTACGGCACGATCTAACATACGCAAATATGGGTTGTAACATCCTCCCCCTTAGGAAAATTCATCCTCGAATGTAAGGGTTTATGGGGAGTCTAACTCATCATGGATTCCGATGGAAATTTCCGGCAGAGTTTCCCCTATAAAATGGATATTAGCCAAACTTGCAAGCAGTTAAACCAAGCCTACGGCCTCACAAGGCTATACATTATGGATATGTACATTAACTGCATATCACTATTTTGTATTAAGGAAGAGTATTCTCAAATTATTGCTTACCTCATAGAGCCGTTTTAGTTTCCATTGCGTCCTGCGTTCCCCTAGCATCCTTGTTATCTTTAATCTGGAATAGGTAAGGGTATTTAGACTGATCTCCTCTTCTGCTTCCCATGTCATTTCTTTTGTATACTTGTTTCTCCATAATACTTTGACGGAAGCTACATCCTTTGTTCTCAGCTTGCGGACTTTTCGATCTAATATAGCCACTGGCACTTCTTCATATGATAGATCCTCTGTAACTTGTACATCTTTGATAGGGATGACCGAGAAGGGTCTCCAATACATTTCCTCAACATAGATACATGGAATATCGGGTGGACAAATTCCAATTCGGATGGCAATTCTAACTCATAAGCAACCTGTCCAATTTGTCAAAGAATCTTGCATGACTCGATATACCGCGGACTCAGTTTACCCTTCTTCCCAAAATGCATAACACCCTTCATCGGTGAGATCCTCAGGAAAACTCAATCACCAACCTCAAACATCAGATCATGATGTCAGACATCAGGATAAGACTTTTGCCTACTTTGCACTGTTCTCAGTCGTTCTTGTATCACTTTAACCTTCTCAATAGCTTGGTGAATGAAATCTGGCCCATATAATTCGGTTTCACCGACTTCAAACCATCCAACTGGTGATCTACATCTCCTCTCGTACAGTGCCTCGTACGTGACCATTTTAATACTGGAATGGTAGCTATTATTGTAGGCGAATTCTATGAGTGGAATATGGTCATCCCAATTCCCTTTGAAATCTAGAACATATGCTCGTAGCATATCTTTGAGTGTCTGAATGATACGTTCAGCTTGTCTGTCAGTTTGCGGATGGAATACAGTGCTGAGATTCACTTGTGTGCCTAAACCCTTATGAAAAGACCTCCAAAAGTTAACCGTAAATTGAGCTCCTCGGTCAGATATAATAGATACTGGCACACTATAAAGCCTAACAATATCCTTGATATACAACCTCATATAATCTTCAGCCGTGTAAGTTGTCTTAACTGGCAGAAAATGGGTAAATTTTGTAAGTCGATCAACTATCGCCCAGCTTGATCCTGATATCCTATCCTTCTCTTAAACAATACTTGTTAGCTCCCATAGGGCATAACTGAGATGGGTGTGGCCAATTGTACATACCTCTATTACTGTTGAAGGTAACTCAAAATGCTTATATTTCTCTACCTGAATTATAAATACTGATAATCTTCATTAACTGGGTACCTTATACCCTTCTTCACCTTGCTTCTTTTACTTGTTGAAACTTGTATCTACCTTTCGATTCTCTCGTTGCTTTTTACCACATGGGTGGATAGATATTCATGCCTTAGGGATCCTTTTAGAGAAGCTTACACATCTTAGTACACACATAATATGCTGAAGACCTTACATTTACTCATCATAAGCATGATGCAAAATCGAGTTCCACTGGCTCAACTCTTCCACATCCACATTCAATCTCTTACCAACGGTCTTTCTAGATGTAGGTATCATTGTATTATGAACAAGATAGAATTGAGGAGTTTGAATTCTTACAACTGAGCTCTACCACACGATCTAAAGTAAGAAGAAAGAGTGACAGTCCTAAGTGGCCTGTAGCCTCATGCTTATAAGTGTGGTGCACAACACACCCATAAACAATACTCTACTAGACACGGATTGCAAACTCACTAGGACAAAACTGCTCTGATACTACTTTTGTCATGACCCAAATCGGAGGGCCGCAATGGGAATCCGGTGCCTAGGGCCGTCATTTGATAACCAGAATAATACATAAGGGAATACTAGACATAGGACGACCCAACATGATATAGAAACTTATACATATAACATACGGGCCTATAAGGGCGACATGATCATTTGTACACTCAAAACATAGGCTGAAAAGACCATACAAATATCCATATACATGACATCTGTGTACAAGCCTCTAAGAGTACATAAACATCATAAAGGTCGGGACAGGGCCCCTCTATACCAGTCAATACATGTCCAAGTCATACTGACCAAATAGGCAACTCCGGAGAAAGTGGAGTGCACCTTCCGCTGAGCTAATAGCCTACTAGGAGGACTATCAACTTGTCTATCGGGACCTGCGGGCATGAAACGCAGCATCCCCAGGCAAAAGGGATATCAGTACAAATAAAGTACTGAGTATGAAAGGCAGTATATAAAAGACATGAATGAAACATAGAGTAAATGACTCAACCTGTAAGTCTGAATAGCTCTGTGAATTATGAAACATTTATAATGTCATGCTGCGTATAAATGTCATATCATGCATGGGTGTATGCGTACATAAAATCATCAAGCCTCTGAGGGCATCCCATCATATCATCTCAGCCTCTATGGGGCAAATCATTAACGTATACCAACTGATCAGGTGGTGTTGCATATATAACGTTGTAACCTTTCCCCATAGCCCATGTACATATGATATATGCGTATATAATGCCATCTGGTCATGGGTCAGTGTAAATGTATAAATGAATGCAATACATAATGAAGTAAGTCAATAAGATCTCTCGGAATGTCATAAGATCAATATGCCTTCGAATAAACTTTATCAACTTACATATTTTTCTGAGACACATGAACAGACGATATAATAATAAGACACATGGGGAATCAAG